TCCTTCCCTCTGACCTCTGTGTGACCAGTGGCCACAGGTCCTTCCCTATAACCACTGTGTGACTAGTGGCCACAGGTCCTTCCCTATAACCACTGTGTGACTAGTGGCCACCAGTCCTTTCGTCTGAACACTGTGTGACCAGTGTCCAGTCTAGGCCATTTCTACATTTAGGATTCTTGCTGCAGGAGCTAGGGAAATGTTTCAGTTGGGAAGATACCTCTTGTACAAACATGAGGACCTGAGTTTGATTCCTGGCACCAATGTAAAAACTTGTAATCCCAGCACTGAGGAACCAGAGACAGGAAGATCCCAGGAGCGTGCTGGCTAGCCAGTTTTGTCAAATTGGCAAGCTCCAGATTTGGCGAGCTATCTTGCCTTAAAAACATAAGACAGACCCCTCCTGAGGAACACTTGGGTTTAATGTCTGGTTTGCATATGCATGTGTACACGAACACCCACATTGAGCATAATTAAGTACACACACACACACATGTTCTTACCATAAGTGGAGAACCAGAATATTGATTCCATAATGGCACAATCATTTCCAAGAAAATGTGTTTTGTCAGGCATCAGTAATGTCAAGAGGCTGCTGTTGCCACTGAAGCCCAGTGAAGTGATGATAAGTCAAAGCCAAGGTCAGCAGTGTGGTCACTGTGGCCCTGTGTCCTTTTCAGGGTCCTCCTGGATCTCTGGCATTTACAGTGCTGTCTTCTGTTCTTGTCTTCCTATTTTTCCCAGTACCGATAACTCTCACTTGCTCCTTGGATGTATCTGTGATATAAGTTTATTTTTCCCTGTAGTTTCTCTTATTTTATCAAATTTGCCTCATGATAAAACTCATACTTTTGCATTCCCTTCATAAGCTTGAAAAACTTATACTTATTTATACTTTATACGTTTCTATCCATGCTGTAGATCAAACATAGTATAGATTTAATCACTATGAGTACTTGACATTATCTGTAGGTAGGTACATTTTCCAAAACTATCTATCTTCATGGTGAATTTGTAATGCCTCAAAACAACTCGGAAGCTTTGCCTTACTAGAGTGGAGGTTAAATATCTGCATCAGAAGGAAAGTTAGAGCAGTAAAGGAGGTGTTTGTTACTTTGTAGTCTCTGAATTCCTGTTGTGTAACAAGGCAGTCTCACTGGGCCTCAGACACAGCCCATGAAAGCAGGCTCCTAGTGCCCAGTGTCCTCACTCCTGTTGTCCTTAAAGGTGTTGATAAAGTGAGGTGCATGCAAGTTTCCTAAGGGTGGCAATTACTTCTTTGTTGTAAACTTGAACCCAAACAAGAGACACACCAATCCTTAGCTTGAAGTTGTTATAAAGTTCCAGATATTATATATTAAAATAACATTATACTACCTAAAAGTTTATGGGTAAAAGCCACTTGTATCTATGTAAGAATAAAATAATTCAGTTTTTACTAATTAACCATTAAATAAATATATAAATATATAGTATATAAATATGTAAATACAACCCCAAGTAATTTATGTTAATCCTATTATCTTAAAAATTGAAATCAGGTTATTTACATATAGCTCATAATTAGGGTCTAAAATCCTCTAATTACTAAAACAGCAAAAGTGTTTTGAAACTTTTTATAGGTTAGAAATTTTTATAGGGTAGAAAATATTTTAAAATGCATTATGGATTATTAAAATTAATTCTTTATGAACACTGTTAAAATTCACAACTGTGAAGTTTGCTAAGGATAGGATTTACTTTATACACTGTTCAAGAGAACATGCTTTGCTTTTTTATAAAGATTTTACAATTGCTTCATTTTGCTGTCTCAATGTGAAAATCACTGATTGCTATAAATCAGCATGTTAGACCCACTACACATATGAATCCCTCTGATGCTGACAGAGTGCTTACAACCCCAGGTCTCAGGGCTCAGCAAGCTTGTGAGTCTGAGGGAGACAGTTAACCTCCATCCATCTCCTCTGCCTCTGCTTTGATTAATTGTATCCGCATGCTCACAAAGGCCTCTAAGTGGTCTGCTGCTACATTCGCTGTCATATTTCATACAGATGGATCTTCCTGATGAAGAGCCCGATCGATTAAGCAACAAACTGTTGCAGTATGACCCCAGCCAAGATCAATGGAGAGAGCGGGCACCCATGCAGTACTCTAAGTACCGATTCAGTGCAGCCGTCGTCAACAGTGAGATCTATGTTCTGGGTAAGAAACAGCAGATTGCTCAGAATGTAGCCACTTTTATTACTCCAACAGTGTATTCCTGTGGAAACAAAAGTTTCCCTTCCTCTTATATCTTAGTTTAAATATATATGCATGAGTGGCAAAAAGATATTTCTTGTTTTCTGGAGCAAAAGTCAAATAATATTAAGTCTTAGAGGGCAAAACTATTTTTATGGCATCTTCAAAGGCCTTGGAATGCAAAAGCAGCAGTGAGCTGTCCTATAGCACACAGGCTCATGAAGTAGGAGAGGCCTTTGTCCATTTTCAGTTGGTGAAATGTGGGTTTGCAGCCAACTGTGATTGTGTTGCTAAAGAGAAAGCCATGGCAGGGCAGGCTGCCACAGAAACCTCCAAATTTCTAAAAACATACTACCAAGTAATTTTACCATGGATGAATTCCCCTCCACTCTTGAATACGTATAGTCTGTACTAACTAGCAGGGGCTGGTGAAAGACTGCAGTTCACTAGAAATTTCTGTGGTTGGTAAGAATTCCAGAAATCTCCAGTAGGTCCTGTTCCCTTCTTTGTTCCCTGCATCTTCCTGCTTCATCGCGTCTTAGTCTCAGAGCGTGTGTCTTCTTTCCGACCTCTCCTCCTATCACCCTATCATACACCTCACCCTGCCTCCCCAGAATATGGGAAGACTGGGGTATGTCCTTCCATCTGTGTGAGCGGCTGGCTGGAAAATCAGGAGGTGATAGGAGGCAAAGAAATGACAGCGAAGAGATGAGCTCTGGAGTGAGAGCAAACCAGGTCTCTAATGGAGATGATTTAAAGAAAGAGAAAACAGGAAATGCAGGCTGTTGTTTTAGACTGTTTTCACAGCGTGGAACAAAGTGATTCATATACCGAAATATTAAAATTGTTTTATTTAAGAATAATTGTGAAACATAATTTATGATTATCTCAGTTAAGAGACTCACAATTATGATTAAATTTTTCCTCTAGATAAATATCCCTTATTTGTTATAGCCAGAATGAGAGCTCTCCCTAACTAGGAATCTCATCTAGGCTGGATGTGTAATCAAATGAGAATGTCTTTTGGATGACTGTGGGAAAGGGCACCTAGAAGCACTCTTGGAAGACCACTCTTCATAGCATGGAGAGTGTCCACTGGGTGAGCAAAAGGGAAATGTAAAGGGAATTTGTGTCAGTGAAAGAAGAGCATATGCTATGCTTCAAGAAGGGAAGCAGGGTCAAGGAGCAGGAATGAGCAGTGCAGCTCATTCCTCAGGAATGAGGAGTGGCAGCTGCAGTTTGGGGTAAGATGAGAGTGGCCAGAGGAGGGGATAAGAGACGTGGAGTGAATGAGCCCAGTGTGGACACAGCTGAGGCAGCAGTGCAGGCACATTCTTCCCTGACTCTCCTCATCACTGGGACTAAACACCTGATATAAGCAGCAGAAAGGAAGGAAGGTTTACTGTGGCTCATAGTTAACTGTGGCCCGTGGTATCAGAAGGATTTCAGTCCACTATAGAAGGTACATGACGGTGATCTGTGGTAGAAGTGGGATGTAGTGACTAGTTCTCATGGCATGGACCAGGAAACAAAAATGTGACAGAAACCTGTGGCGGACATGATTTTCTAAGTCCCACTCCAAGTCACCTACATTAGTCAGTGTCTTAGTCAGGATTTCTATTCCTGCACAAACATTGTAATCAAGAAGCAAGTTGGGGAGGAAAGAATTTTTTCAGCTTACATTTCCACATTGTTGTTCATCACCAAATGAAGTCAGGACTAGAATTCAAGCAGGTCAGGAAGCAGGAGCTGATGCAGAGGCCATGGAAGGATGTTTCTTACTGGCTTGCTTTCCCTGGCTTACTCAGCTTGCTTTCTTAGAGAACCCAGGAATACCAGCCCAGGGATGGCACCACCCACAAGGGGCCCTCCCCCTTTGATCACTAATTGAGAAAATGCCTTATAGGTGGATCTCATGGATGCATTTCCTCAAGGGAGGCTCCTTTCTCTGTGATAATTCCAGCTTGTGTCAAGTTGACACACAAAACCAACCAGTACAGCCAGGCAGACCCTGACTCCTAAAGGCTCCACCACCTTTGAAATAGCACCATGGGATGGAGACCAAGTTTTGAAACTGTGAGCCTCTGGGGACATGTCAGACCATATCAACTGAAAACACGTTATGGAGGCCATGAAGACTTAATGTAGAGCATCGAGAAACCACACAGAAGCAAGTTGATTAAAGGATGTTTGGGAAGACTGGTGCAATGAGGCTATAAAGAACAGGTCAAAGACCAGGAGAAGCCAGAAGTGAAGAGACCAACTAGTACCTTTGAATCTTGCTTCTAGATACCCAGAACCAGAAACTGGATCCATAACCATCCCAATAAGTCTTGCCACCTGTAAAATTCACTCCCAAAGAGTCACCTTGCCCAACATTTGTGCTTAATTCTAAGTTCATATGTAAGCTTTGTCATGATGTGAAACTCAAGGTTTGTCTCATTTCTGTGGTCTTAGTTGTAATTGAAATTGGGGCAAATATTATACAGAACCCTAACATTGTTTGTCTGAATGACTTACAGAAACAAAACTTTCACCATTGGTTTTTGATTGTCTGTTTTAGGGTAGCTATATATACCCCACTGTGCTTGGAGACCCCTGACAATTGCTATGAGCTATTATAAGGCCTCTCATTGTTCTCTACTGAATTTAATACACCTCCTGTGCAGACCAAAGAGCAGTTGGTGGCACCTCCTTACCAGAGAGGCAGCAGTATGTTAATCTGAGAAATGCTCTAGCCTCAGAGTGGTGAGAACTAAAATCTTGGCTTCTCACTGACTCTGGTCTAATAAATATCTTATTATTGTAAACTAAGATGTAATCAGGATCCTGCATTGCAAGTGTTCAGATGCTGTACAGCCTTTCACTGAGCACTACCCCCTCTTACTCATGTGTTGAAGGCCTAGGCACCACCATGTAGCACTGTTATGAAATCATGGAAATAGTAGATGATGGGTCCTGGCGGGAGGAAATTACATCATTAGGCTGTGGTGTTGAAGGGCTTAAAAAAAAGTATATTCCAGACAAATTCTAACTAGGTGATAATAAGTTAGCTGTATTGATGATAGACAAAATATACTTTTAATCAACAACAAAAATATCTAGCTTCCAGCTGAGGTGAACTTAGCAAGCAGAGTAACCCAGTCTTCCCATTCAGTAGCGCCCCAGAACGTGGCTGAGATGTATGAAAAAAAACACTTGAGAGGCAGGTGTGTCAGGAAGGAGCACTGGGGCTGCTGAAGCACTCAGTTTCCCTCCTGTGTCCCCTAACCTGGACTCATCTCAGCTGAAACCCAGAAGAACATATTGTGTAGACAGAGCTCTGTGAGAAGCCATGTAGTTCTGGCCTGAATTACTGAAGAGGAAACGTGCAATTCTCAGAATAGGAGTTTCACACTGCTTTCTTTCTGTCTTCTGGCTCTCCCTCCTCCCCTCCCTCCTATCTTGCTGTTTAGGCCAATCAGAGCTAAGTGTGGCTGAATGGGAAGACTAGAATCCTGGGTTTGTAGCCAGAGAACCGGTATAGGGAGAGACTGGAGAGGTCAGTCTCATGGAGTCTTGGGTTGTGGACTCCCAGGGCTCACCTCCGGTGATGCCGGCTCTGATCCTCTCATACTACACTCGCTGAGAGCTAAAATTATGGTTGAGCATGGCCCAGGCCTCTGCTCATTACCCAGATGATGAACTTTGTAGAGAGCATCAAAGAGCACTGCACACGCTTCAACTCTAAGCAGACACTCAAATAGTGCACAGAAAGCAGATGGGACCTTCCATCCTGCACCTGACCAGTTCAAATGTTGAAAAGGGGAACAAAGAAGGAGGGGAAGGGAGAGAAGACAGGAGTCAGGGAGAGAGAGGGAGAGAGCAGAGGAGAGAAAACCATTGTTATCTCTCAGGTTTAAGTAAGCCCCTGAGTGTTATGATCAGAATACTCAGGACACAATTCTTATTCAGCAGACAGAAAAACCTGGAAAATCTTGAAGCACTTGGAAAAAGCAACAGTAATGACAGAAAAGGCATAAACGCATGAATCATCTTTCAAAGGCCTTAAAGCAGTTCCTCTAAAATGCTAAAATATACATATGTATATTAGATATGTATTTATAGACAGTGAGGATTCTTGAAATAAGTACTAAAATAGAAAAACCTCAGCAAAGAAATAGAAGATGTAAAGAAAAACAAAGTAGAAATTTTTAAACAGAAAATATTGTTGCTCAAATCAAGAAGCTCAAGGGATGGATGCGAAAGTTGAGAGTGGATGACAGGAGCCAGAGGCAGGAAATGCAAACACGTATTGTAGGAGCTGTGGAGTCTGGGTGGCACAGGAAAGGGTTAAAACCAGGGGGCTACAGAACAATTATAAAGGGCCTCAAAGTTATGTCTCTGGAACCCCAAAACTCAAATACCAAGAGTGTGTCCTGCTCAAAATCATTTAATATGCAATTTATTTTTATTTTTTGTCCATTGGTGATTTTCCTGCATGCATGTCTGTGACAGATTGTCAGAAGCCCTGGAACTGGAGTTACAGACAGTTGTGAGCTGCTATGTGGGTGCTAGGAATTGAACCCAGGTCTTCTGGAAGAGCAGCTAGTGCTCTTAACTGCTGAGCCATCTCTCCAGTCCTCAAAATTACTTAATAATGTCTTAAGAACTTCAAATTTGCTTTAAGTTATAAACTCAGACTCAAGAAGCTGAACAACCCCAAAAGGAATAAATCCATAAAGCCCACACTCATGCTACATTGCCAACTAGCCACAGAAAGCCAAAGGCAGAGAAAAGCAAGCAGGAAAAAATCCTTGAATTGTGTATGGGGGAACACAGTCTGGATGACTAGAGATGTGTGCTCAGAAACTACAGGAGCTAGGAGGTAGGCAAGCACAGCTAAAGTGCTAACAGGGAAAAAGTGCCAATATAGAATTCAGCATCCCCTGAAAGCCTCCATCACGAGTGGGCGTAAATAGATG